TTCATCAACTGACTTCAAGCCCAAGATTCATTTTTGTTTGATTTAATCTATTGATTAGGCTTTTCCACTGAGTCTTTTGGCTTGTTTTCATTTCCAAAATTTGACTCTTTATGAATTCTCTTTCATATCCTATGTTGTCTTCCTAATTCACTTGGCTATTTTTATTCCTTCATTCTCCCTGTAGCCCCAGCTGGCCTGCTATGTAGACCAGGTTGGGCATGAACTCACAGGGCTCTGCCTGCCTCTGTCTCCCAAGTGCTGGGATTAAAGTCATGTGTTACCACGCCCAGATTATTTTATTTACTTATTTCATTTATTTTGGTCTTTTTGAGACAGGGTCTCCCTGTAGCCCGAGCTGTCCTGGAACTATGTAGACCAGGCTGGCCTTGAATTCACAGAGATCCACCTGTCTCTGCTTCCCAAGTGCTGGGACTACAGGCGTGTGCCACCACACCCAGCTCCCAATTTATTTTTATACTCTTTGAAATCACTAATCATTTTATTTTGCTAAATATTATTTTTATGTGTATGAGAGTTTTGCCTGCATGTATGTTAAGTGCAGCCATGACATTCACTACCCCCGGATATCAGAAGAGGGCATCAGATCCCCAGAAACTAGAGTTAAAGATGTTAGCTGCCTTGTGGGTGCTGGGAACTGAACCTGGGTCCTCTGGAAGAACAAGTGTTCTTAACTGCTGAGCCATATCTCCAGCCCCCGACTGATCATTTTGTAAAAAATATTTCTTCTGAATTCCTCGTCCAGAATTTCATTCATTTTTGTATCTTTGCAATCAGTTATTAGAGAATTATGAATTTTCAAAGGAGTCATATAGCCTTTTTACATCTTTGTCTTTACACTGAGATCTATGCATGTTAGGACAGATAGCTCTTCCAGGATTGTGGGGCCGCCTTAGGGAGAGTCTTCCTTTGGAGATGTGAATACTGCTTTGTTATAGTGCTGAATTTAATTCTAAATAAACTTCTCAGTGTGGTTCCTCTGTGGCTTCTGTGTCTGTGATTAGGCCGTGACACGATGCATACTGTGTCAAAGCCTAAGTGGCCCACTTTCTGTGTAGGTCTCATGGAAGTTCAGGAAGGTGTGTTATAAATGGATCACTAGGTGTGCACCATCTACAAGTCTTCCAGTCCTCTCAGCAATGGTCTGCAGGGTCTAGGAGGAGCCCTTGTAAGCTCCAGTCACTAATCTTCATGAGCAACTCTGCATAGTTTTGTTTTTTATTCTGAGACAAGGCCTTGTGACAGGCTGGCCTTGAGCTCTTTCTCCACCCTGCCTCGGCCTCCCTAGTACTTGACTCCACTCACCACCCCAGGCTCTACCTCCACTTGCTTTCCTTCCATCTTCTAGAGAAGATGGTGGCAGACACTTTAATGCTCTACCTTGCTCCCTCCAAGACTGAGTTTCGAGTGGCCTATCTCTCTTCACAAGTTCTATAAACTCAGGTCCTATTACAATGAAATACATACTATCATCCTCTGACCAAAACCCACCAGAAACAGAAACACTGTCTAATGCTTTTATTGCTTTAATAGGTATGCCAGCTGCCGGGTCATCTTTTTGATTTCCAAACATAGACCAAGAACTCTAACTTTACTAGAATTCCTAAATATACAAAAACTAAAGTTTTACCAAAACTGGGTAATTTTCCTGGGGTTGGGGTCAGAAAAGTGTCACATGGTTTTTATCTCTCTCCATCTCTCTCTCCCTCCATCTCCCCCCCTCCAGTACCCTGTGTAGCCCAGAAGTCCTGCTCTCTCCTGCACCCCAGGCTAACCTGATGACAGGACAGGGTACACAAGCACATTCCAGACCCTTGTCTCTTGAGACTGGCTACTTAGATTTACCTTCAAACATTTAAAGCAAAATACTGCCTTTTCCAAAACAAAATCTTTTAGAATAACATTTTCCAAAGTATTTAATACGGTGACTCCTGTTTCTAGAAAGACAGACTTTCCCATTTTGCCCACCCTATCAAAGGCAGCAGGGACAGGAAGGGCTGCAGGGTGCCTCTAACAGGCCTCCACAGTCCCCACAGGGTGGATGGTGCAAGCCAATCAGGGACTGAGCACGATGGGCTTATGAAGCTGGTACAGAGATGTGTTCTTCCCTCCGCTGCCTTCCCGCTCAGCTTGTTCCATGACCAGCTTTGGATCCACCTAGTGGGGACAGACAACAGCACCAGTCAGGCTGTGGATGGAACCTGTCTAGACACCAATAATAAATTATGCACACTCAGGCATGGGCATGTATGATAGCAGAGCATTCTATTTGACAAAACTATTTACAGAGGTTTCTCTCCTCTGATTATCTATTATCAAACAGACCTTGTGTTTCCTTTTAAAATTTCCTTTATTTGTGCATGTGTGCTTGTGCACATACCATAGCATGTGTGGAGGTCAGAGGACAACTTGTAAGAGTGTGTTTTCTCCTTCCACCATGTGAGTCCAGGGAATCAAACTGAGGCTGTCAGGTTGGCAGCCAAGTTCCCTAACCCACTAAGCCATTTTGCCAGCCCCAATCATCCATTTTTACTAATGTTTAACACTAGAGTAACCTTTACTGAGAAACCTCCCATACTCTGTGTATTAGAACAGTGACTTCTGTGTACTTATTTAAAACAAAAAGCTTTTAAAAATTATTTTTATTTTATGTGTATGAGTGTATTGCCTCCATATAGGTAAGTGCATCCCTGTCATGCAATGCCCGAGGAGGTCAGAAGAGGCTGTTGGATCCCCTGGAACTGGAGTTACGGACAGTT